TATAATAATTACCATCTTGGATAAGCTACAATCTCATATTTAACAAAACATAAAAGAAATTGAAATTCTTAGATTAAACGATCTTTTTTTTTTACAAAAAAAACAAATCAAATTCTTTTCAACGCTAATGTTCGGTACTTAGTTCTGAAAAAATCAAACCAGTTGATGAATTGTTAGAAAGTATCGGTGAACTTCAATAAAACAGATATCAAAACAGCTTTACAATCAAGATAATACTGTATTTCTCAAAATAGAGAAAAGTTTAGAATTTTTTTGGCTATACATGTAAAGATGCTGAGTGTTATAGACTAAAAGTAAAAAGAAGCCCAACGTTAAGACAGTTTTTTGAGAGAAGAAATGGTTACTGTAAATCAATATAATTTGCTATATTAATTTTCTGTAAGTTTTATTCTTTATTATTTTTAAAATTAACATTATTAAATATGTATAATAACAGATAATTATACAATTCATATTTAGCGCAAAAAGAATTCTCTTCATATAAACACTTATCCCAAATTGAAGTGATAGGTGTAGATACAGTAGAATAAGCCAAATGGTAGAATTAAAACTTCGTAAGTAATATATTAAGTAGTTTATAATGAATTGTTTAATTCATTTCATTTTATAACTTTTGAATATTTTCTAATATGAATGACTCCCTTTGAAGACAACAATAGACTTCACCGTGCAGCAATCAAGTTTCTTATGCTATGGCTGCTAAGAGAAAACCGGTCGTCGGACATTTTTGATTACTAATTTATTGGACTCTGTCTTGAAATCTGATCTGTGACATGAGATATAATTAAAAGCTAGTCTTGCAGTGAATAAATTTGCAAAATCATTTGTAAACACTTTTAAAACTACGTTCAGTACCAATAATTTTCAAGTTATCAAAAGAATTAAATTCAAATGATTTAATGTGGTTTTTGTTTAATGGCAAATTCGAATAATAGACATAATATCGGTAAATAACGATAAGGTTTAACTTTATTAATGAAATATTTTAATGAAATTGATTTGTGGTACAATCGGAAAAGAGATATGATCCGTTATCTATTTTCACATTTCAATTTGGAATATACATGTATCACGATACGTATGGTATGTTCGTACTTAACAGTTACGTACGTACGTACGTACGTACGTACGAACCTCGATTAAGATGCGGATGTGTTTGTTCTGCAGCTTCATTTTTTGTATGGCGGTATTTATATGCCATTTTAATCTATCGTAACGCAACCTTAGATAATTCGGATGAAGCTTGCTGAATACATTGTTGGTAGGAGAAATCACTATTACAATACTAAACTACTTTATTGTGAAATCGAGATTCCTTCTCCTTCGTTAAAGAGTTGTCATCATTTTTGGCTGAATAAGAAAGTAAACCAGGGCCAGTATTGCAAGAATGGAACATGTCAGTTAAAAATAGTAACGATAACGATAACGATAACGATATTAATACTGTAATAACGGTAATCCACGGATTTACTTAATATTCGCTTGTTGTTATTCACTAAAAGCACGTAAACTTCGACCAGCGTTAGGGTTAGAATTAAGGTTGGTATAAGAAACATCGTATAGTAAAGTTTAGCCAGGAAGTGAGTTACCGGTGATGTTTTGACAAAGCCTTCCACACTTGTTCTTACGATCTATATATAAAAATTTCCTTTTTGGATTTGTATCACTTGCAGAAATAAGTGTGCGGGTAATCCACAATTTACTGTAAATTTTAAAAAGTGATGATAAATTTTTAATACGTAAATGTATTACGTAGTGATGATATTAATAATGGGATTTTGAAATAGGTATTTTGTACGTACTCATTGTTATTGTTTACAGTAATGCAATTTAATTTGGTGGCGTGTTTACGCCAAGTGAAGGGGAATTTCCTCCTTAAACTTTTATAGTAAAAATCATGTGATATTTTTCACACAAATTACCATGAGAACTTTACAGTTTTTTTCAACAGGTTTTTGGCGTTCTTCATTAGTGCCAAATAAAGATACAATAACGATAAAGATATAATAAAGATATAATAAAGATATAAAGGATGTCAAAAATCAAAAATAACCCCACCAACAAAAATTTTTTCATCATTAACTAACGCTAAGGAATAAATAACAATTTGACTATTAATTGACGAGTTGATTTTGTAAAAATGTTGAGGATCCACACATCAATTTTTTTCGTATTCACCCTATTATTACTTTCAATTTGCACGTTCTGTACTCCGTTATTCGTGCATCAAGACTCCGAATTTAAGGATTCCACTCTTTTGTTAGATGAATTCATTTCTGTGTCCTATAAAGATAAACGTCCGCCGCATATTCCATCACCTCGTCCTCCACGCCTACCAAGATCAAAACGAGCCTATGTAAAATTTAATGATCCACCTGATGTAACAAACGGTACAATGGTTTTTTGGGAAACACCTTCAAATAAAACCATAATAGTTGGTCAATTTAGTAGTGGATTTAGTGAAGGAGATGAAAAGAAGTATACATTTAAAGTTTATAATGAAACTTCAGAACTTATAGATTTAAAACCTAAAGATGAAACTTTTGATAAATTATTTAAAATTCGTTCTGATGGTGCTACTGATGCTTTCCTATTTGTTTTGGATACTCCTTTGGTAACTGGTAATCATAGTGTGGTTGGAAATTATTTGGTGATTGGACGACCTGGTTCTTTACTTGGTAAAAATCTAATTTCTGTTTTATT